GGTTCACTAGCTGGCTGGGCCACTGACTTTTCTGTTAGATTCTGTTGTTTCTGGCTGGGATTCACTGCCCAGTAAGTCCACTTGCTCAGTAGCATCATCAGGTGAAACTGTTGGGCACTGTCATCACCTTTGATTGGTACAAGTTATGGGGTATATTCTTTAGCTATAGATACCACTATTTGAGTTCTGTAACTGGATAAATCTACAGGCTAGGATCCATGGTAGGCAGTCACTTCTCATGAAACAGAAACAGAGGTTGTACATATTTCAAAAGTATATTTGAGGCTTGCTTCCTTTCTTGGTCAGAATCTTGTCATTGTCTCTATGACTGAACAAAAGTGCTATTTATTCACCCATTTGGGGGCAGGTTTAGTTCCTTTGTTCTGCAGAAATGCTCTGTAGCATCCTTCTGCCTAGATAGGGATTTGCTGACCTTTGAGACTGAGCATAGCTAATGTTTGAACTCCTGAATCAGGCAGAACTAGTTCCTGTGCTTTGGCAAAATGTGCTGTACCAGGTACTTCCCTGCCTGGATGGGGTTATAGAGTGGGCTTTAAGTCTCTATGCTGAACCACTATTTAGACTCCTGACTTGGTCAGTCTTGTCCCTATGCTCTTCATTAATACACTGTGGTGGATATCTGTCTGCCTCAGTGGGACCTGGTGACAAACTTTGAGGCTAAATCAAGTAAAGATTAGACAATTAAGTACCTTTTTCATGGACAAGTAGACCCAAGCAGCTATTAAAGTCAGTGTTAAAGAAGATACAACCATCCACTTCCAATATAATATCTATATCTACGGGTGCTTTTAAAGAATGAGGTTAAAACTCGCATTTCATTGTAGACATGAATATAAATGAAACCATATACACCAAAATGCTTTACACATTGATCTGGGAAAGATACTTTCCCTTGTCTAATGAAGAAACACACTGTTCGTATTCACGAAAGAACCTCTATCCTCTTCCAACTGGTCTCAGTCTTTTCTGACTACCCATTTCCATAAAGAACTGAACTCCCTCTAAAATATCTACAGATATCTACAAAATATTTCATCCAAAGATTCATAGGACAATAAAGCATAGAAATTGACACCCCATCACTCTCTTGCCCAATCTTCTTGCTTTTCATGTATTCATAGCATTTATAAGTGCTATTAACTGATATATTGAACATTTATTTATTTTGTTTTTTATTTACACCCTTCTAAAATGTACATTTACTATCACATTTTGTCTATTTTATTTCCTGTAATAATCTCAGTGCCTATAATAGTGCCTGGAATCCAGCAGGTGGCTCAAGAAACATTTGATTCATTGACATTTTCGAGTGAGAGAAAAAGAGATCATGCTGCTGTCTCTCCCTCTCCAAAGTCATGGGGGGTGGAGAGAGAGAGAGAGAGAGAGAGAGAGAGAGAGAGAGAGAGAGAGAATATGAATGAGAATGAATTTCAAAAATTGTCAATAAACATAGAATTTTTGGCAGAAGACCTAAACTTTTAGTCCTCCAGCCCATTATCTTGTTTGCTTCTTTCCAACACAATAGAAAGAGCCTCTGTGAATTTTCAACATTTAATGTTTCCTGAAAGTGTCATAGGTACATACACATGGATTCTGTATAATATTAAAAGAGAAAATAGTGGACCATTTGCTTAAAGTAAGCCCCTTGGCCTAGACCCCTCTACAGTGTTCCTCTTAACATTATCCAGGGCTGGGGTTGTGGTTCAGCAGCGGTGGAACGCTCACCTCACACGTGCAAAACCCTGGGTTCGATCCTCAGCACAGCACCACATAAAAATAAATAAGTGAAATAAAGGTATTGTGTCCAACTACAATTAAAAAAATAAATATTAAAAAAAAAACATTATCCATTGCCAGGTTGACCCCTTTGGCTCCATTTTAACTCCAAAGTAGTCGTCTCACCAGGGTCTGCATGACTTCTACCTGCCTCCCACTAACTTAAAAAGTGCACTGAAAGGAAGAGGAACTACCTTAAAAATATAAGCTGATAATTCAGAGATCTTGCTGACCCCTCACTTCTCCAGCACTAATTAGGTACAGGGGGCAGAGATTTGAGAATAAATAACAACCAGTGGAGCTGCTGGCTAGCCTGGCCTCATCTTGCTATACTGATTTCTCTTGAATAACTCATGATGGGATGGAGGGAGAAAAGAACCTGTTGATGGATTTTGTTTAGTTTGTATTTGTTTGTTTGTTTCTCTAGTCACTTTCTCATGGGGAAATCTGGCAAAGGAAATGAAAAACAATGTAGTGTTTTGGTCTGAATTTTGGCTAAGGAGGCATTTCCATAAGAAACGAAAAAGTAAGGTTTATTTTTCCTTTATCTTCTGATCCATACTAGAAATGGTTTCACTTCTCACTCTGGATATTAGATAAAGAAATAGGTAAGTCCTGATAGAGGGGTAGCACTCAGTCTCCCTTATGAACCCTCCATTTTTCTCTTTGCCAAAGACCAGGCCACAGCCATTTGTAATATGATCCTTAAACAGACACTTATCATTCAGTTCTAGATTTAACACTGAATGCACCTAGGCAATGAATCTATTATTATAATAAGCTGTGTTAAAATAGAATCTCAAGATTACCAGGGCTTTAAAGGCAATTGACTACCAAAATACTTCCTATGCCCTCCTTACCTAGTAATTGTTCTACCTCTATAGACAGGATGATCATTATCTCACAAGACATGTTCCATTGTTCAACAATATTACTGTTTAAAAGGAAAAAGAAATTCTTCCTTCTGTTCAGCCAGAATGACTCCCTTTCATATTTACATTTTACCTTATAGTGCCACATAAGATAGTGTAGTTTTACTTTTTCAGGATAGAAACATACTAGAGAGAAAAGTGTCCAAAGTTATGTTCTATCATGATCATCATAATACCCATTCCACAGATATGGAAATTGGGAATGAAAGTGGTTCATTGGAACACACTAACTTGGAAGTAAGGCCAATATATTTCTGGGGATGCATCTACTCGTCTTGTAACATTCCAAACAGTCCCACCAGCATATTCTGTAGGGATATGGGAAAAGAGATCACAGCTAATGATTAAACCCTTGGTCTCTTAACTGCCTTCAAAAGTGACTATTTTGGTTCAGAAAAGCTCTGAATTGACTTTATCTAATAAAGTTATATGTTTAATGCATTGGTTGATTGTCAGTGTAATGAAAAAAGAAAGAAAAGGAAAAATCAGGCAATATGATCTTGAGAAAATAAAACCCATGGTTTTTGAGCAGATACTCTAGGAAGCATAAGTGTTACCAGGTTTTTGTTTTCCTCATTACTTACTCTTCACATATCCATTTGATTAAATCCTGAGAGTGGGTTTAACACACAGGATCATACAGGAAATAAAAGTAATGTGTGTAATTGGGAATTTTATTCCTTGGTCTGACTTTGGCCTTCATTTTCTGGTTTGGAATAGCCCTCAGTCTGTTTCTAGTTACCTCACTTTATATTGAAAATAGGGTGTCGGGCTGGGGATGTGGCTCAAGCGGTAGCGCGCTTGCCTGGCATGTGTGCGGCCCGGGTTCGATCCTCAGCACCACATACCAACAAAGATGTTGTGTCCACCAAGAACTAAAAAAAAATAAATATTAAAAATTCTCTATCTCTCTCTCTCCTCTCTCACTCTCTCTTAAAAAAAAAAGAAAAGAAAATAGGGTGTCTTGGAAATGATGGTGCCCAAAATATGTTGCCAAAGTAGTAATGATTAACAATTTTAGCAGACATCTGAGATGAAAGAGAAGGAAAAAGATGAAACATCTCTTCACCGCATGTCATTAATATGATAGCCCTGTGAAGAAAGTACCCTGGTATTCTTTTTAATGATTATAAAATTGATGATCATAAGGGAAAAGTGATTTGCCTAAGGTCACTTAGCCAGTGGGGACTGAAGACAGAGTAGGTATAAAAATAGGTTCTAAGCCTATCATTGCCTTCTCTAACTGCCCACCTGATTGCTAGAGTGTTAAGTGATAAACCTTAATTGAGGTGCTTACCTCAATATCCAGATTGGAAACACTTAACTATGACAATTATGTTGGTAATGGGGATAGTGGTAGTTAGTGATTTTAAATTTTTCAAATTTATATATTCTTTTGATATTGGAAATCCAGTTTTATAGGAAACAGTCATAGGTAAGAAAGGATAGACAAATGACAAAGATGGTCTATGATCAATACAAAAGAAATAAATGCTATACTAGTTTCGGGGAAGCATTCCTCCTTCCCTCCCCCAATCCAAACCCTTTGCAAATCAATGGTATTGATAAAGGAGGGATGAAGAGGCATAATCATAGAGACAAATGAAGATCCAGAAAACTTCTCCTCTTATTTTGGTCTCTAGTGAACCAAGAATTTTAAAAAATGAGGGAAAGGACAGTCCTATCCAAGAATGGCTCTTATTCCTCATGGACCCCACCATTTGCTCCCCCATAATCAGAAGTTCATAGGTGAAATATAAAATAGGCTAAATATAAGCTAGGCTAAAGCACTGACTTGCCACTCTGATAAGCTAAAACCATTGGTTTTCAAGTCAGATAGCAAGAGCTATGACAATAATCTACTGATATTATATTGTCATACTTTTGAAGGAAACTATCAGAGGTGGCTCTTAGATGGGCCATGGGAAACAACATGTTACTCTTCTTTAATAATACACTTTTAATGTAGAGAACCAGACAGTTTATTTTTGGATCTCTGCACCTCAAATAATATTTTCTTAATAAGAAGATGCCAATTTTGAGGATCTCTGATAACAAAAAATGACGGACAACTAGTTAATCTGAGCACTAAAATTGTTATCACCATTAAGTGCCAAGCAAAAACTCTAGGCAACAAATAGGCATTTCCAAAACCTCTGTCTCTGCATAGCTATGGTAGTTACTATCTGACTCTTGCATTAAATATCTTTTCTAATAGCACCAAGAAAGGAACCTAGAGCTGTTGCATAGATCCAAATCCCCAAAACTCACCATTGACAATCAGTTGTACAGTGATGTTTTTGTAGAGGCCATGCTTGGTATTGCTCAGGGCAAAAGTGTAGTTTCCAGCATACTTTACATTAACTTCCAGGATTTTGAGTCTGTAGTTTAGAGGGTCCAGCTGGAAGGTATGGTTTACTGGGAGTGGTTTTCCATCTTTGAACCTATAACGCATGAGAAAGGAATGATAAATACAATGTTGGCCCTCTAGGACATAAAACCTTCTCCCCATAGGCTTATGCTTCATTATGGTCAACAAAGAGAATCAGAGCAATGGAACCCATTTCATCAAATTTCCTGGCTGTTGCTGGGCATGGTGACACATGCCTGTAATCCCAGTGGCTTGGGAAGCTGAGCAGGAAGATTGTGAGTTCAAAGCCAGCCTCAGAAACTCAGAAAGGCCCAAAGCAAATTAGTGAGATCCTGCATAAAAACAAACAAAGAACAACAACAACAACAAAATATATATGTGTGTGTGTGTGTGTGTGTGTGTATACATGGCTGAGGATGGCTAAGGATGTAGCTCAGTTGTTAATCACCCCTTGGTTCAATTGGCTGTACCAAAAAAGTAAAAAAAATTCTGGCTGGAGCATCTTAGTACAGTCACACTGGAAGTAAAAGATTAAAACTATCTCTTTCCTTTCTCCTAATGGTTAAATCTTTGGAAAGTATTCCCACTCATGCATCCTATATTTCCATTTCCTCACTTCTCATCAATTCCTTTATGTTGTAAAATCAAATTTTCCTCCACATCATCATTTTGAAATCATCTTTTCTAAGATTCCCATCAATGCCCTAAATATCAAAGCAAGTGGCCATTTTGCATTAATGACCTTCAGATTTCCTGGGATATCTGACCTCAGGGACCAAGTTTTTCTCTCTTAGCCTATTTTTTTTTCTTTTTCTTTTTTTTAATGGAATGCTTCATGAATTTGCATGTCATCCCTGTGCAGGGGCCATGCTAATATCTGTATCATTCCAATTTTAGTATATATGCTACTGAAGTGAGAATTCTCTTAGCCTCTTGAAACTGTTCTAATCATTATTTCTCTCTTCTTCACTGACTTGTCTTTTGTTTACTTTCCCTTTTAATATATGTGTTTCCTGTAAACACTTAAAATAATTAAGCAAACAGATGAGAGAGAGAGAGAGAGAGAGAGAGAGAGAGAGAGAGAGAGAGAGAACGAACTGAGATATTTAGATCAGAACCTACAGGTTCTGCTAATAATCTGGATTTAAGGTGCTGTGAAAATATTTTTCAGTAATTAATAATAGGAGCATAATAAATGCTTATAATTGCCCTTAAGTATATATGTGTTTATGTATGGATAGATACATAGATAAAGAATACTCTGTATTGTGTCTTGGGCTCTTATCTCTGGGTATTCTGCCTACATGTATTCATTTAACACCTGCTGATGACTCTCAGTTTACCTCTCTAGAACCTAGCTCTAGACCCATATTTCAAAATGTTCTTGGAGGAAATTCTCTAAATGAATTTATCATGGTGTTCCTCTCCTACACCCTCACACTAGCTTTTCATCCAAATGAAGCACAGGTTGTTAATAATACAACCACTCTTACATTTAACCAAATGTGAAACCTATGAATTACCTCAGATCCCTGGGCTTAGCTTCACATATCTAACTGGATACTAAACCCTGAGTATTCTGCCTCTTCAATTTTCCCCAATTTCATTCATTCTTATATTCCCATTTCCTCCTGCTTATTCATGTCTGCAGCATGTCTCACATAACTCTTGTCATAAGCCCCTATAGCAGTAGCTATTTCTCTTAGCCTTTCTCCATTACCATTGTAAATTCATAAAGCCATATTAATCTTTCAATGCTTAGCTTCAAATCTATCACTCCTTACTTCGTAACTTTGATGGTTCTCCACTGCCTACTAAAGTAAGCAATAAAAAGTACAATATTTATTTTTCTTGTTAAACGTCAGAACTGTTGTGTAATATAAGTATAATCACTCAGATTTTATATATGAAGAAACTGAAGCTTGGAGAGTTTATGTAATATGCCTGGTAGCTTGAAAAAGAATTAATTACATGTCTGCCTCATGGAAATTCCCATATTGTTTCCACCTCACCATTTCTTACCCTGATGTTCAAGGACCTGTACTAGGCTGGGTAAGACCATCTTTAAAAGTCCTTCAAAACCTTAAGATTCTGTAATCCCATAATGACCTTGGCAATTTTTCCAGACTTGTTCCCTCCTTTACTTTCAAAGAGCAAAACTCATTTTCCCAAACATAGGGGATATAAAGAGTAGGAGAAGAAAATTTAATCAAAGAAACCCACCTGTTCTTGGGAACAAGGAGATAAGCCCCAGTTTCTGAAATTGGGAGTGCCCCAAAGGGTAGGGTTAGGATTAATTTATTTTCCAGATTTAATGTATTCCTGAGTTCCCAATGCCAAATTAAGGGTCTGGTGGAAGGAGTGATTGTTAAGGGTGAGGTTTAGCAGACACAGGAATGGAGAACCTTAGAAAAGAAGGCCCACTTACCAGGTCACATTGGGGCGAGGGAAAGCATCCACTCTTACTCCTATTTTGAGCATCCTTTGCCCAGCTGTCACCTCATAAATGCACCTTCTTTTGCATCTCACATTGAGGAATGATTTTTCTGGAATCAGAAGAGGTATGGTATCAGAGGGATAAAGTAAAACTAAATCTTAACTTTATTTACTCTTCCTATGAGCAGCCATATTTTTCCAAACCTCAGGGAATAAAATTTGAACTGACAAATGTTGTTGTTTATTAATAAGGATTGGCATTTTAGGTGGGACAATTCTTTGTTGTGAAATACTATGTCTCACTCTATCCCATCAATGCCAGTAGTGATCACCAGTCATTTTGAAAAACAAAACATGACCCCTTATATTTCCAATGCCTCCAAGTATAGTACTGCTCCCAAATTGAGAATCATATAATCATGTTGGCCTTTTCCCTTGTGATATGACTATTTAGACATGTGCAATGAATGATTTCTGACCAATGAGGCAAGAGGGCAAATTAGCTAGGGAATCTCTAGGAAAAGTTGTACAGATTCTTAAAAAGGAATGGAAGTCATCAATTTCATTCTTTTCCCTGCCTTTAGACACTATCATTGGTATATATTTTCTGAAACTTCAGCAACATGCAGGGTACATTGAAGATAATGAAAGTGGCAGAGTAAAATAATGGAAGGAACCTGGCTTCAGTAGGACATTCATGATCCACTGAATCAAGCATCTGAAGACTCTACTACATAAGATAACTGACTCTTGATTGTTAAACTACTTTTAATCAGGTAGTTTGCAGCTGAAGACATCCCAGTTTACTAAAGTGGACAAATGGAATCCAAAGCCTGATAAACATAAAGAAAATTATCTTATAAACTCAGCTGTAGGGGTTTAACTGAGCTATAGCAGTTAAATTTTTTACTATAGAATAAACTCAGAATGTGACTGTATTTGAATTTGTAAGCATTTGTGTGTAGACAAATATTAGTATTTGTGGGTGAGAATTTTTGTTTGTTGTGGTGCTGGGCATTGAACCCATGGCTTATGAATGATAAAACACACCATACCATTGGGCTGCATGCCCCCCAGGCTCCAATAATTGAGGATTTTTGTCCATACCTTCAAATAAGTGTTGGAATCTGTGTGTATGCATTCCAAATAATATTTTTCTGTATAAATGTACTGGGATGAATATGGCTATTGTTTTGTTTTGTGAGAGCATGTATTATATACATATGTATTTATTAATCACCACTCCATGAACACAAGGTAATTGGGTTAAATAGAGGTTCACTTAATAATTCTTTCTGCTATTCAATTTTTAGCCACATAGATATCAGTAAAAAGAAAAATCAAAGGGCACCCTCAAACATCATTTTAGAGATAGAAAAATTAAACCTAGAGAGGCATAGTAATTGTTTTCAAGATCACACATCAAAATAGAAAAGAATATTCAAGACTCTTTATTCTCTATTTGGGACTAAGTACTAGCTAGACAAAAGATAGAAAAACATGTAAGTTAAATCACAATATTTTGCAGTATATGTTCCCTGTGACAGGGTAAAGGGACAGATTTCATATAAGCCCTGAAACAGTGGGCTGTAAGCTGGAGAAACCATAACAATGGAAGAGAAAATGCAGGTATTTCTGAGTGATTCACCATGTATAGGGGAGAAGAGTAGAATCAAGAGAAAAGTCAAGAATGCAAGGTTTACTTACTATACACTGTGATGGTAATGTTGGCTTGCAGGGCAGTGTTGTTATTTTCCTGGCAAATATATAAACCCTTGTCTTCCATGGTTATATTCCAGATGGTCAAATTACTATAGCTTTTGTACACAGGGGACCCTTGGTACAAATTCCTTTTAACTTCACAACACCTGGGTGTTGTCTTAGACTGTGGGATGGGAAAGGATGAAAATTTCAATAAAGAGTATTGAGTATTTCTAGATGTTTAAACTATTACAGGGTTTAGGAAGGAAGCCAGAGAAATTAATATAAGGAACTTGTATTTTGCCTACACTTCTGAAAATCATATATATATATATATCCACAATATGGTATAGAATAAAATATCAGTTCCTATAAAACATGTTTCTTGAAATTCACATACTACTTATTATTCAGCTTTGTTGATCTGCTAGCACTTAGCCTGGTTCTTGTCCAAGACTAGACTAATTCAGGGAGAGACAGTATGGATAAATACTATAACATTCTGAAGGAAAGATAGTATACTCACATCTTGCCGGTTGAATACCCAATCCAGTTTGATTCGTCCATTGAATGTGGTCTCTGCCACACACTGCAGGAAAAGGGTGTCTCCCATCAAAAGCCTCTTCTGGTTATATCTGATAGAGATATTTCCTCTCTTGATTTCTAGAAAATAGAGGATATGCCATAATGGTGTTGACAAAACCAGGGAAAAAAGTCTTGATTATAGAGTAGTTCTTAAAAATTTTCAATCCTTCAACTCTTTCTTAGGTGAAAACTGTAGATGCAAAATCATACCACAAGGTCCCATGGTTTAGAAAAGACCAAATAAGATTTTATATAAAATATTGCAAGATACTTGGTAGTGGTGGCAAAGGTAATCACGAGTATTTTTTTTCACTGAGCAGCTTCTATAATCCTTAGAAAATTTTTATCTCCAATTTACAAGCTTCCCCATCAGAAAGTTTTATTTCTCCTACTTATCTAAAGTCATAATGCCTTTTGGTGGCTCATTCTGCATATTTATGTGTTCTCTGAGCAAGAGGTCATCCTTGTTAATGGCCCATATCCACATTAATCAAGTAAGCAATAACATAAAATTCCAAGGTGCCTGTTATTTAGCCACAATATGCACCATTATTTCATGGTTTTGCAAGGAAAACCCTGTAAAAGGTGAATATTTATTATAGACATTGCCACCAGAGAAATGGTCTGATATTTATGAGTCATATAAGATCGCAGAAGTTAATCTGGGCTTTACCTACTGATCTATCTATCTATCTATCTATCTGGGCTTTACCTACATATATAGCTATATATCTATCTATCTACTCACATATCTATATAGATAGATAGATAGATAGATAAGTATATATTTGTATAATATATGTATATGTATATATGTATACATCCAATATATATTATGTAATATACATATTAAAATAAGACCCTAGGATCTTTTTTTTAAATATCTATTTTTTAGTCGTAGTTGGACACAATACCTTTATTTTATTTTATTTATTTTTATGTGGTGCTGAGAATTGAAGTAGCCTTGCACGTGCTAGGCGAGCACTCCACCGCTGAGCTACAACCCCAGCCCCAAGACCCTAGGATCTTGATTATCATGATTATTAATCTATACAAAAGAGAATTTAGCTGGAGTAAGTTTTATTCAAAAAGGAGGTATTCTCACAAAGCATCATGATTATATTTCCTAATCTAAACACACAAATCACATACCCAATCGCTGTGGGAGATACAGTGACCTGTGGATCTTTCCATTGACTTCAGCAATGCATTGGAGCATGCTACTGTAGAACTGATAAGAGGGCCGCATCACAGTAAAGCCTTTCCTGGGGTCCCAGTTTTGGCTTGCATAGGTGAATGTGGCAGGGTGCAACTATGGGGAATGGAAAGGAAAACAGAAAGACAAAAATGTAAAGATCTCACTAGTATTCAGTGTAACACACATGCCATCTAACCTTAAACACAGAAGAAGAGTGGTCTGTCTTCCCACTTTCCTACCCAAGCTTTCCAAGGTCTGATCCCATGCCCTATAATGAATCCTTTGTTTTCCTCTTACAAAATTAACACAGTTCTGGTCAGAGTAGATACTTGACAAACAAAAAAGGGAACCAGTGAACATTTACATAGCACTTACTATTTTTCAAACAAAATATTAGCTCATGTAATTCTCACAAAAAGGTTATGATGTTGCCCCATTTCACAGATGCAGTTCAGAGTAGATACCTTGCCCAATTGATGTTTTGTTATTGCATTGAATATCAAGACTTAGGTCTCTTCTATTGGAGAAGTTTAAAACCAAAATGCCCATTCAGTCTTCTTTTAAAGATAAAAGAACACCAGTTGTCAGTTTCCCAGGTTGCACATCTACCTATCAAGACGCCCGATATTTATTGATATTCTGTTGTTATGGGCATCCACTTTTGCCTCAGCTATGAACAAGTGCAAAAGACTTCACTATAAGTCTATAAGAAGTTGACTATAAAAAGTCTATGCCTAATATTTTCATTAGTTAAATAAATCGTATTTAATATTTAATCAAGTATATGTTCTGTGTCAAGTACTGTGACAAGTAATAAGGATCTAGCTTCAAATACAACAGACTGAATGCCCACTCTCAGCTAGTGTATGTCTAAACAGGCTTGGATTACTAAATTGTATCATTTGTAAATATGAAAATAATACATACTAATTGTGAACATTTTTCAAAAATACTGAAGAAAGTAAAGAAGAAAATAATACTAACCTATAACCCAGAAATAGCTAGGAAACAAATGAGGCATATGTACTTACATTCTCTTTTCTATGTATGTATGCATTGACACATAGTCACACACTATAAACACAATTTTAATCCTGTGTTTTCCTACTTAACATTATATTAATTAGTATATTCTCATATAACTAAAATTTTTCATTAAATATAAAATTTAATGGCAATATGACATCAAAGGAGTATGATCAAAATCATGAAATCTCTGGAAGTCTTGTGATACAAGGAATAGTTGAAGAAAAAGGAAGATTTTAGCCTGAGAAACTAAAACACTTGAGGAAAGAATATGGTTGGTAGGATTGATGTTTGGATTAGGGAAAGAGGTCAGAATAAGTTTAATTTTTTCCTAGTATATGAAGAGCTATTATTTGGAAACTTGGACTTTTGAGTATAACTTCAGAAGGTAAAATGTGAACTGATGAGTAAAAATGTCTGAGATGCATGTGTTGGCTTAATAAAAAGATGGTAAACTCTGTCACTGAAATCATTCAAATAGGTGGGATGACTATTTGTCCAGGAGGCAATAAAGAAATTTTGTGTCATATAGGAAATCTCTTTGAACTCTGAGTTTCTGTCTCATTGACTATTGATTTAGTTTTCTTATTCTTCCTAATATGTATATACTCAGAAACTTCTTTTCCTTAACTCTACAATAGGATCATCAAGCTTTACCTAATAACACAAAATTTAAGGTATAAAATATACTATGTTTCTTTTTAGTTTAATTGTAAACAATTAAATTTGAAATTTATTCTTTATTAACTCTTTTTCTATGTTTTCACATTTTTAATGGCTATGATTGGGTCAAATTTGAATTGATTACAATTAGTCACACCAAGTATGTCTTGCTTACTTTTTTTCTCTTTATTGTGTACATTCTTTTATCTTTCTTTTTTGTTGGGGGAGGGTGGTACTAGGGATTGAACTCAGGGTCACTTGACCACTGAGCCACATCCCCAGCCCTATTTTGTATTTTATTTAGAGACAGGGTCTCACTGAGTTGCTCAGTGCCTCACCATTGCTGGGGCTGGCTTTTAACCCTTGATCTTCCTGTCTCAGCCTCTCGAGCCACTGGGATTACAGGCATGTCTTTCTTTTTAGTATTATTATAATTATTATTCCATACTGATTGTACAAATGAGTGGGTTTTATTTTGGCATTTTTGCACATGCATATATTATGATTTTTAGCAACTTTTAAGTCAAATTTCAAATGTTTAAAATATTTTTAAAACTACTTTTCAACAAAATCTGTTGGGCCCCTTTGAGAATTCCTCAGCACTTTTATCATAACCTAACTATCTTTTACTACCCAGTTACTAGGTCCTCAAAGAACCCGGCAACAGAAATAGCATGAAGTAAGGGGACTGCAAACAACACCTGGAGACAAAAATACAAAATGGCTGAGAAAATAGTTAAAATCAGTAATGGAGGAGGCCCCCAAACCTGGAGTATTTTGCATGCTTCTACAGCAATTTAGAGTTTCAGGGATGTACAAAAAAAATCAGAGTTAAAAGGAATAACTCTATGTCCTTATTGTTGTACAACACTGAGGCTTCTCTCAGTGGTAAAAAGTTACTCATTCACTTAATTAAGCCTACAGACCAGTGCATCTCAATGGGAGGGAGTAGGTTCTCCTTACAGGAATTTGGCAATATTTGGAGACATTTTTGGTAGGTGCAACTGAAGGAAGTTGCCATTAGTATCTAGTGGGTAGAAGTAAGGGAAACTAATAAACATCCCTGAATGCACAGGATGCCCCCATGCAACAAATTATCTGATCCTGAATGTCAACTGAACTGAGGTCAAAAAAGTCTTATTGGATTCTACTTCCAAAATCTCTATTCTGCCACTTCCCTTCTCTGCTCTCCTAAATTAGATCATCATCTACAGTAGACAGTAGAGGCTTGGCATTTTGGTTGCATGTGATAGGATCTTCCCCTCGTTAGTGTCTTTATTCCTTCTTATAATGTGGCCCACCATCCTCATCCTCACTCCAGAACTATGTACTTTGTGTGGCATTTGCATACCATTCCTGCCTCTCTGACCACAGTGAATAGAGTAAAATTGGGGATTAGATTCTAATTAGAGTAACCAGAACCATCCTGGGGATTATTTTCTAACTTGGGTTCAGATAGGGAATACTTCTCAGCTTATCTCTAGGAAGAAAGATACAATGAACTATAGGTTAATACAGATAATTTGTGAAAACAGATCTGTGATATTAGAGAAAGGAGCTTCAGGTGAATACACTAAACTATATTCTACCCCTTGAAATGCATTTTGCATTTTGCCTAAGCCAATTTGTGTGCATTAGGATTTGATTAAATTTCTGTCATATTTAATCAATAATCCTGAATACTACTTCATTTTTTCATACTACTTTTTGTGTTCCTTACCAAATTCTTCACTTAATGTGCTTCTACTTGTCATAAGCTCTTCAGTTAAAACTGCCCTAGGCAGTCATTCCCTTTCTCCTTGGCATGCCTATTTTCTCTAATACATACAGGCCCAGCATTGGGAACTTTCCGTGGCTCTCCTATGGCAATAGATTGCCCAAAGCACATGACCTTTCCCTCTGCTCTGCTATGAAGGTTCCTCATAGTAGCTCCAGAGATGGGCATAACCCATTAGAAACTGAACAGGCTACCTTTAATCTTTTTTGGAGAAGAACATTCTATGGAAGGCCTTTGATATGTCCTGATATAACCAAAGCAGGTGTGGGCTCCATTTTGCCAGGAGCTCAATCTATTTCATAAGCTTGCCCATTCTGTCCCCAATTTTGAAACTACTTTCTGTGTTCTATGTTTTTTTCTCAGTTTTATTTATCTTAGTTTTTTGGGGGGTGGAGGGGTACCAGGGATTGAAATCAGGGACATTCCACCTCTAAGCCCATCCCTAGTCCTATTTTGTATTTTATTTAGAGACAGGGTCCTTCTGAGTTGCTTAGCGACTCACCATTGCTAAGGCTGGCTTTGAACTCACGATCCTCCTGCTTCAGCCTCTTGAGCCTCTGGGATTACAGGTGTGAACCACTGCTCCAGGCTCTCTTAGCATTTATTTCTCAGCCAACCCATTACATCAAGGGAAACCCCATTTCTACCACCCATGGGGGGCATGGGCGGAAGATCAATATGTTGGACTAAATCAAATTGCATTGAATTCTACCTAAAAATAAGTTGTTTTCCTCTTCTATAAAGTTAACTTTAGTTAATCAATTAGTATGGGGAAAACACCCTGTATACACTGTTGGTTTGCTTACTTTTGTTGGAGTTATACTTCAGGAGAAAGGGAACCCTTCAAGCTAGGGATATGGCTCAGTGATAGAGCACTTACATAGCATATGTATGGCCATGAATTTCATCTCCAGCACTGCAAGGGACAAGGGGGATATTTCTCCCTCCTTCACCTACTGAGTAACACTGACACCTAGCAATGAGATGGTAAAAGCAAAAATGCAAAATAGCAAAACCAATGTTCCTTGAATAACACTGGTTATTAGAAGTTCCCAGGGAAGAGTGAGCCGAAGGCCTGAACTGGCTGCTTAGAGAATGAAAGACTTCAATGTGATCATGGAAATTGTGACATTGAGTATACAATGGCCTGCTAAATGACCATATGTAGGTTATGTATTTTAGATCAGGGAATGTGAAATACATAACCAATACATCAAACATCAGCTCTAATGATCATAATTATACTGGTACTTTTCACCTGTACTACCTATTGCATTGTATAAAGTATAAATTCACATCTATTCTCTTAACAAATAATCAAAAATTATTATCCAACTTGAACTCCAAGTTTCCTCTTTCATAGCTCAGAATTCTTCTTTGTGGGCTCACAGAATCTGACAGATGTTCCTCAATTTCACAGTAGCCAAGCTTTAGGCTGAATGTGTTATTCAGTGCTTTGGGATAGATTCTTTAGCCAATAGTTCCTTAAATGCCAGTATCATGTTAAATGTTTTTCCCCTAAATACAATAGTATCGTAATAAGCTAACTTGAATTATGGGAACTTTTGATGAGTTATAAAGAAAGTGGTATATTATGGTTCCTGTCTAGGAATCCCCTTTGGATAGAAGGGGGAGATTTCTAGATCCCCTGAAGTTGATTGATCTTAATAAATCTTAGGGGAGATGATAGGTAAGGCCTTAGAAAAGCAAATTCTGGCAGGGCTGGGGTTGTGGCTCACTGGTAGAGTGCTCACCTAGCATGCATGAGGCACTGGGTTCGATCCTCAGCACCACATAAAAATAAAATAAAGAGGAGTAAATGAAGGTAAAATAAGATTTTTTTTTTAAAAAAGCAAATTCTGGCTATACCTCTACTAATATTCCCAGACAGCTCATGCTATGGAGGTGAACCCATTGTTTAGTATGGTTTAATTTTAGAAAAGGAGGCTTGGAATTAGGTCAGTCACTTCCCTATTCCATGCTTCCTTTTGGCATAGGACAGAGACACAGTGGCGCCAAGTCTCGTCAAACATTTGTTTGAAGGGAAAAAAGGAAGCTTGGTGAGTGGACCAGGTCATTCTCCCTGTATATTAGGTGGAGCGAGGATGAGGAAGCCATCCAAGCACGTAGACTCTATCACAAACCCTGTCTTTCCCTCTCCACCCTTCCTGATGGAACACTAACTCCTTCTGGACTGTGTCCTAAAGACATGGGACATCTTCTTTTCCCTTTAGAAAAAGCTAATAGAAAGTCCCAGGGAAGTGTTGGAGGAGCACGTGAACTGGATACTCACAGGAGAAAGGACTTAATTGTGATGATAGAGACTGCTATACTGAGCATATAATGACCTGCTAATGACGTTAGGGACAGATAGGACTTGGAAGAGGAGTACTAACCAATCAAGATAGTGTGCAGTCTACAGGAAGTACCTAATAGACTCCCAAGATTTTATAGAGCCTGTTAAAGTACCTTCTTCCCACGAGCTTCATCAGCACCTCATTTATCATATCAGCTGGTGCTGCAAATACACAATGTCCTGGCTACCCAACTCTTAGCCTTCACAGATATATTGCAGTGAAGGGGTATTAGGGAAAATCTTGACTCTCCTTTTATGGCAGGAGAGTAAGAAGATCATTGCATGCTACTGTTGGAGGGTCATAGCTTTGTTATTACAGAGAAGTTAGAAGAACCTAGTAGCAGAAGAAGAATGTATCCAGGAGAGGAGCAGATGTATATGCCTGCCCTGAAGGAGACCACGAAGACAATACCTGGACAAGGAATAAAGATATCCAATTTTTACTTTTGGCTATGACCTTCTAAAATATGGACTTTGAGCAAGTTCTTTCTTTTTTCTAGGCCAAGGGTCCCTCATATGTAAAATGGAAATAATAAAGCAAGCTCCATTTACCTCAAAGGGTAGCTAACTGAGCAGCTCAAAGAAGATGAAATACATAAATGTGTTTTTAAAATTGTAGCAGTGTTATGCAATTGTGAATGCTGAGAACTTCAGGAATGTTAAGGTGATCCATCAGGGATATAATACCCCATTCATAACCAATATTGATTTGACTGATGAAGCTACATCTCTAAGTTACCCCTTCGTCTCTTGTACTCCTCATGTGTCCCACCCCAAATTTTCCAGTATTTTCTTTCTGTTTAAGAAAGACATGTATTTACTCAGACAATAAAATTTTAGCTTTACTTCTTGTTTATAAAAAACTCCATGAAGGAGTTGGGGTTGTGGCTCAGAAGAATAGCACTCGCATAGCATGTGTGAGAAATTGGGTTCAATTTTTAGAACTACACACAAATACTCAAACCTTAGAGCTCTAGACAAACTTTATATGAAGTCTTCACAGGTCCTTAGACATCTAGAGTGAATCAAATTCAAGAAAGAAACACATTTCTTCCAGAAAATGGTTCTGGCTTCTGGGAAGGAGAGACCTTTCTAGAATGGCCTAAAATATAGACTGAATACAATAGATGATTACTCAGGGGCATCATAGTAACTATCTACTTCCCTCTAGTTTGTGCAATCCTCTTGTGAAAGCACTAATTCAAGGCAAAATAGTAGCATATCTATTTTTTATGTTCCACTCCTAAAAGGTAGACATGACACAGTTAGGGCCAGTACTAAACATGAAAATTAAAAATTCTCCCCAAATATCTTTATACTTCCTACACTAGAAAGTGGCAAGTCCCTGAGACCCTGACAATGCAACTTACCAGTTGAAGCTTAACATCAACATCAGGGGAAGTGACCCGGCACGGTACAAGTATCTCTTCAGTGTCAGTAAACACAGTGATAACAAGAGGTATATTGTCGTAGGCCTGCACAAAGGTCTGGTTGTCATCTGCAGGGGTGAGAAATCATACTACAAATGGAATTGTCATCAGGATAAGATTTCCTAGGTTCCTTGTATATAAATTTCATTATAACTACTTTTTTCTATATGGGGGAAAAAGGCTTAGAACATTAAAAGAACTCAGTAAAGAACACAGCCAAAACTTGAACTGAGATCTTGCACCTCCCATCCAAGATTTTCTGCACAAAGGCCAGGAAAAAATACAAGTCTACTCATAAAGATCTAAGAGAAAACCATTATAGTGGTCTTAATTTCAATCTATTGGGCTATATAGAAGAAGTAAAATCTCTCATCTACCTCATGGGCCTTCTGGCATATATCTAAAATTCCTAATTGTTTTCCATGTGAAGTGTTTTAAAGTCATATGGGTTCTCTGGCACTTGAGCCAAAATGCATAGTAATTAATAGATTAGGCATATGATGTTTATCTGGAAAAGATAATTTATTTAAATATTATGTGCCAAGTAAAATTATTATTAATCTTTAATAAATGAAAATGTATTAAAATGAGCATGAATGTGCTCATTTCACCCACTTTGCCTTCCCATAGGACTCAGACTCAGTTTGAGTGGGTACACACTCTGTAAGTATTTCTCATGTGGTGAAAAAATATAATGTCGATATGAGAACATATGATACTTCAAAAAAATGAGCCTTCAGTCATGGATCTTAAAAAAATGGTTTTGGTTGCCTGTATTCCTACCATTTCAGTTTTACCCCTGTAGATGGACCTGATATGAGACTTTTTTTTATTCTGTACTATATCATTCCTTAATATGTCCTTGAAAGTATTTTATAAATAGAAAATTTTGCAAAAGACAAATTAAAGATTTCCTTATTCTCGACAGAAAGGACTTATTTCCACAATATAAAGACTCTTTATGGCATACTCAAAGTCAAAATCATAATGGATGGATAAAAAATAAGTCATTTCCTCCAACATCAATAACAAAATAATTGTGTCCACTCTAACCACTAGAGTGGCTAGGTAGTAGATTGCTAGCCAGAGCTACCATGCAAGAGAAAGAAATTAAAGGAACACAGAATAGGAAAAGAAGAGGACAAATTATCTCTGTTTGCTGATAATAAGACCTACGAAGATGGAAAGACCTCCCATGCTCTTGAGTAGACTGAATTTGGTGAAAATGGCCATATTACCAAAAGTAATATATAGACTCAATGCAATCTGCATCAAAATACCAATGGCATTTTTCCCACAACTAGAAAAAATAGTCCTAAAATTCTTATTTAGGAATAAAAGACCAAAAACAGACAAAGCAATACTGGGCAATAACAGTGTTCCTGTTGGTACCACAATACCTGATCTCAAATTATACTACAGAGATATAGTAACAAAACCAGCATAACATTAGCATAGAAATAGACATGAAGAACAATGAAATAAATAGAAGACACAGAGACAAATCCACATAGAAAGAATTGTATGATCATTGGTAAAGGTACAAAAAGCATGTTGAAGAAAATCTAGCCCTTTTAACAAATGGTGCTAGGAAAACTGGCTACACATATTTTTAAAAAAACTAAATCCTATCTCTCATCCCGAAGAAAAATCAACTCAAATTGGATCAAAGACCTAGGAATGAGACCAAAATCACTGCAACTGCTAGAAGAAAATATAGGGTGAACACTCCAACATATCCCTACAGGCACCAACTTCCTTAAAAAGACTCTTAAAGCTCAAGAGATAAAACAAAGACTGAAAAAGTGTACATCAAATTAAAAAGCTTCTGCATAGCAAAATAAAAAAAAGAACATGAAGAGAGAAGCTACAAAATGGGAGAAAAACTTTGCCAGATACTGTTTTGACAGGAAATTAATATCCAGAATATGTATAGAACTCAAAACAACTTATACTCATTTCAATTGAGGCAATAAAGGGCATTTAATAAAATTCAACATCTATTCATGATAAAAGCATTGAACAATGAAGACAATACAAAGAATGCCTCTCAACATAATAAAGACCATTTATAATAAGCAAATAGCTAACAGTATATTGAATGGGGAAATGCTAAATGCTTTCACTTTAAGATTGGCAATAAGACAAGGATGCCCAATTCATCACTTTTATTCCCCAAAATCCTACTTACACAAATAAGTCAAGATAAAGAAAAAAGTAATGCCCAAATTGGAAAAGAAATCAATCTTATATATAGAAAACCCTCAAAACTACACCAAAAAACAATGAGAACTAATTAATAAATTCAGCAAAGTTACAGGATACAAAATAATATCCAAAGTCAGTATAGTTGCTACATGTCAATGTCAAATTTTCTAAAAGATAAATCAAGAAAGCAATTCCATTAAGAACATGTACAAATAGAAATAAATAAAACACCCAGGAATAAATTCAACCCAAAGGGGTGAAAAATCTCTACAATTAAATTTATGAAACATTCACAAAAGAAATGATAATACCCCAAATTGGAAAGACAGTTCTTCTTCATGTATTAGAATAATCAATATTGCCAAAATGTTCATACCACTCAATCAGATTTACAAATTTAAGGCAATGTCTATCAAAATACTAACGACACTCTTCATAAAACTAGAAAAGTCAAATCTAAAAATTTTATGAAACTGCAAAAAAGGCCAAATAGCCCAAGTCATTTTCAGTAAAAAGAACAAAGCAGGAGTCATTATACTACCTAATGTCAAAGCATACTACAAAGCAGTAGTAATGAAATGATATGGTATGGCATAAAAACAGACATATAAAAATGGAACAAAATAGACAGCCTATAATTAAATTTACACATCTACAGACAATTGATTTTTGACGAAGATCTCAGAAAACACACTGGATTGAGGATGGCATTTTCAACAAAAGGTTTTGGGAAAAATAAGATAGACCCACTATATCTCACCACTTAAAAAGATAAACTCAAAATGGACTAAATATTTAAAGACTTAAATGTAAGTCCTGAACTTATGAAACTACTAGAAGAAAACAGATGGAAAATATTTACAGAATATGGGTTTACTTCTAGGATCTTTATTCTGTTCCACTGTTCCATGTGTCTGTTTATATCTAATACAATGCTTTTGCTTGAATAAGATTTCAAAAGTGCAGTAAATAAAATCATAGATAGACCAATAAGATTAAATAAACTTAAAAATATTCTACACATCAAAGGAACCAATCAACAGAGGGTGGGGACAACCTGTATTATGGGAATATATTATCAATATATACATTTAATAAAGGTTGGTACCCAAAATATACAAGAAACTCCAAAAATCTATAACAAAAAAATGAACAAATTTAACAATGGAAAATAAATCTCACATTACCTCTCTCTCTAAAAAAAAAAACACATTCAAATAGTCAATAGGTACATGAAAAATATGTTCAAAATCATTAATCATCAGCGAAAGTCAAATCAAACTCAAAATAAGATATCCCATCCCAATAAGAATGAGTAATATTAAAAAAGACTAAAAGTAACAAGTGCTGGCAATGATGTAGAGCAAAAGAAACACACAGTGTTGGTAGGAATATAACTTAGTACAGCCATTTTAGAAAACAGTATGGAAGTTCTTCAAAAATTAAAAACAGAACTACCATAATATTCAGCAATCCCACTAAATGAGTATATATACAAAGAAAATAAGATCAGTATGTTGAAGAGACATCTGCATTCCCACATACATTGATTCATTATTCTCAATCTCCAAGAAATGGAAACAACTTAAGTTTCAATCAACTGAGAAATGGTTAGAAATGTGGTACATATGCACAATTGAATACTGTTCCACAATAAAAAAATATTAAGCACTTTCATTTACAACAATATGGATGGAACTGGAGATCATTATATGAAGATAAATAAGTTAGAAATAGAAGGACAAGTACCACATGATCTTAACCATAGGTGAAATCTATGAAATCTTATAAAAGTTGTGAATAAAATGGTAGTTACCAAAAGCCAGCAAAAGTGTGTGTGTTTTACTGAGTACTGATTAATGGTTACTAAGATTCATTTAGATGGGATCAGGAAGCTCTGGAGTAATATTGTATAGTATGGTAATGACAGATGACATTATGTCCTATGAAGTCCAAAAAGCTAGAAGAAAGGGTTGTGACAGTTTTCACCACATGGAATTGATAAATGTTTTGGAAGATAAATATATTTAACTTCATTTAATGACAGCGATATTGACATAATAACAAAAATGAAGACCAGTGGAATAGAATAGAAGACAGAAACAAATACAAACAGATACATCATCTGATCCTTAACAAAGTGCCAAAAATAGTCGGGCATGGTGGCACAAGCCTGTAATCCCAGCAGCTTGGGAGGCTGAGGCAGACGGATTGTGAGTTCAAAGCCAGCTTCAGCAACGTAACAAGGCTGCTAAGCAACTCAGTGTGACCCTGTCTCTAAATAATTTTTTTAAAAGGCTCAGTGCTTAAGTATCCCTGGGTACAAAAAGAAAGTACCAAAAATATATGTTGAAGAAAACAGAGACTTTTGAACAAATGGTGGTAGGAAACTGGATAGCTCTTTGTAGAAGAATGAAACTGGAATGCCATCACCCTACCAAAAAAATGTTAAGCCAAAGGGGATCAAACAGTTATGAATCAAGAGTAGAAAGTGTTCAAGTGATATGAAAAAATGGCAGGAATGGAACTGAATCCAGAATTAGACAGCCAGACAGTATAGATAGGTAAATCATGTCAGGTCAGATCAAGGAGGCCAATTTTGAGTGAGTCTGGGAAGTTGGAGACTGTCTCCAGAGGGATTGAAATATTATTTCCTTCAGAGCCCTTCCTCCACACTTATCAAGAATCTCCCCCTGCTCTAACCTATTGCTAAGGTAATCTGTCCCAGGAATTGCCCCCTCCTACAGGGAGCTATAAAGTTGATAATGTGTACTGGGCTACTCTATCCAGCCCTTCCCCCTTCAGCCCACCCGTTTCTCACCTCTTGGCCATCCCATTGGGCCTAGTCAGGTACTCAAGA